CAAATAATTCTGGTCCGACCCAAACTATTTTTACCTGTCAAATTACCTATCAAAACATATTAACAGACTATTTAGCCCCATTTTTATGCGGTTTAGTTAATATTCACCTAATTGAATCCAGATCCCATCATACATAAAGCAGATAAATGCATCTAACTTTTTCTCCGTAGTGACACAAACCACTGATTGTGGCTCCAATAACTTATAACAAATGAAATTAAGCGACTCCACTTAAATTACCATTAATTCACCCGCTGCGTCTGAACGCACAGCTTCACAAATTCTTCCTGGTCGCATCTGCAGAGAAACCAGCGCTGGTTCATCGACAGTTGAATCTGTCTGAATCAAACCGAACAATTGAACTCTGCGAGATTTTTTTTTCTTTTTCTTTTTTTTTAACCCTGTGGTTTCGCTTCTCCAAAACGGACAGATGTTACGTCTGCCGCGCTCCTTCTGTGCATCGCTCTCCTTCTGGGTGCGGGAGGGTAACATCTTCAACTCCATTTGTTAAAACTGCAGGGCGAGTTAAGTTTAATTCTTCGCAGCGGCACCGCATTGGTTGCGCAGCGGACTGCGCATGGATCTAATTAACTTCTGCACCTTTATTTACTTCCTCAAAATAAACTGATGGATCCTATGTTTAGACTATAAATGGATTAAAACAACGTTGTATTGTCTTTAGTTTTCTCTGTTGTGTACTGGAGACTGGAGTTAAAGGCGCCATTTCAACTAAAGATTTGCAATGAGCTTCCTAACCAAGGTGTCCTGTCCATCACTTTTCAACACGCTGTCAGCTCCCAGTCAGAAAGACGCATTTAGTTCAGTGTCCATGAGATGATATTCAGAAAGGATTTTTTTATTGATTGATTTTAGTTGCCTCTGCGATGAACTCTTTGCGTAAAGTCTATAATGTCTCCATGTGCTCCAGTCAAGGGTGTTAATTATAACCTGTCAAATGACAGAGGGGCTTAAAAAATAACCAAATATTCAGTTTGGTTATTTTTTTTTAAATTATATATATATATATATATGTAGATACATATCTACATCTGTATGTCTATATATCTATACATGGAGAGGTAGATATAGATATCTATATCTACCTCTCCATGTAGAGGAGAGGTAGATAGATAGATAGATAGATAGATAGATAGATAGATAGATAGATAGATAGATAGATAGATGTCTACATTTCTACATCTATATATCTATATATCTACTTCTCTCTATATATGTATACATACATAGAGAGGTAGATGTATAGATAGATTGATATTGATATGTAGATATATATATAGATTTATATGTATTTATAGAGAGAGACAGATTGATAGATTTAGATATAGATACAGTATTTATATCTATAGAGATATGTTTATAGATATATAGAACAATTTAGATATGGATATAAATATCTTGCCAAGAAAGATAGTTTTCCACATTTTTTCCAAATTTTATTGGTTAGACTTCTAAAATGCTCTTTTTGTTCCACGTTGTTTACATTTTTTCCCTAAATCTGCCTTTAATCAATAAATGTGGTTGTCTTATTTTCTGTTTAGAATTAGAAATACAAATCTTACAGTGGATGAACATGTTATTGAACGTGGGGGAAGCTGGAGCACCCGGAGTGAACCCACACCTACACGGGGAGACATTCCCACCGTGCAGTCCTGTCTTTTTAATATTAAAATGTCCAATTTACAACAACAGCAGCTCTTTTTTCAATTCCTGTAGTTTCTACAGAATTGGAAACTACAGGAACTGGAAAAAGAGTTGCTGACCTGTTACATCTTCAGATTTTTCAATGGATTTTCCATCCATTGAAAAATCTTACAGTGGATGAACTTGTTATTGAACGTGGGGGAAGCTGGAGCACCCGGAGTGAACCCACACCTACACGGGGAGACATTCCCACCGTGCAGTCCTGTCTTTTTAATATTAAAATGTCCAATTTACAACAACATCAGCTCTTTTTTCAATTCCCGCCAATTACCCAAAACACATGTGGCCCCACCCCCCTTTTAAATCTAATGTACTGAGACATAAGTTGGTCTGTGCTTTGACTTAACGTCTGTCTTTGAATTGGCGCAGACATGTTGGAGTCAAAGCCTTTTTGATTCTCCTCCACAGCGAGATATTCTTCCTGGGGCGCTCTTCTCGTTCAGACATATTCTTCTGTTCAGCTGACTCTTCATCTCCTTGAAGTTCTGATTCCTCAGGTGTTGTTTGGATTATGTCTTCCTTTAATGTGACCTTCATCTGTGGAGGAGATGTTCTTTGTTCCTCCGTTAGGCCATTCTCCCCTTCTGTGGACACTGCATGAACTTTACTTGTTACATCTTCTGAAGTTGTGCAAAGGTTTGTGACTATTTTTTCACAAACTGTCTGAGGGATCTCAAAATCAGTTTTTGGTGTCTCAATGTTTGTCTCATCCTGCTGGTCCCCATTTTGTTGTATTCCCATTTCGTCTTCAGTCGGCTGCTGTAGTTTGTCAATCACTGTTTTGTTTTCACAAATCTCAATTATGATGGTGGCTCTCTGATCCTTGACTATTTCCGGTATTGAAACTTCTTCTTCCATGTTTTCTCCAAAAACTTGATCATTATTGGTTGTTTCCTGTTCAGAGGCAGCTTTCAATGCTGCCTTTCTCTTCTTCTTATTCTTATATTTTTTTGATTGTTTCTTCATTTCATTAACTCCATTTTGTTGTCTTTCAGAGATCATGTCCTCTTCCGAGATTTGCTGGGGACTGTAGATTGTTGTTTCAATCATCTGAGTGTTTTTGACTGTGGCTGTCTGATCCTCACCTGTTTCTGGTACAGAAGCTTCTTTTTCACAGTTTTGTCCAGAAACGTTGTCCTTGTTGGGGTTTTCCAAATCAGATGCAGCTTTCATTGCAGCCTTTCTCTTGGTCCTCCATTTAGCTTTCCTTGATGGCTTTTTGTTATCTTGCTCGTCCCCATTTGGTTGGTTTTCAGATATGTTTTTTTCCTCAGTGATCTGCTGTTCTTTAACAATCACCGTTTCTTTGGCATGAATCTCATTTTCGATGGTGCCTGTCTGATCCCCAACCGTTTCTGCTGCTGAAATGTGTTGTTCTTCACCATTTGATTCAGAAAGCTTTTCTTTACTGATGGTTTCCAATTCAATCATTCGATGGACTGGAAACCGATAGCCGGTTTCCAGCACATCCATTTCTGTTTGAGTTGAAGTCGTACGACTGACTGGTTTTAACTGGTAGCTCGTTTCCCGTATATCCCTCGCTATTTGTACTGAACCAGATCGAGTATGGACGGTTTTCTGCCATGAGCAGTCTTGGGAATCTTCATGAATTTGAACAGAAACCACTGAAGTCTTGCTTTGGCTTCTCTCTGAGAGTCCTTTCCTCGTCAGCTCTTTCTGCTGTCTGAGTTTAGCACTCAATTTACGGTTTATATCGAACAGCTCATCAAGTTGTTTCATTAAATATTTCTGTACTTTTATATATTCCAATTCAGAGGCTTTAAATTTGGCTTCACACGTACATTTTCCTTGACTTGTCTTTTCAGAGGAGTGGGACAAATTTTGAATTTCTCTTAAACACTCTCCTTTAACATTTTCTGATGTTTGATTTTGTTCTTGTGCTGGCTTTGACACTTTTTGAGTTTCAATATTCTCAGCAATAAAACTTATATCCATGTGAGGTTCAGATTTGGGGAGCACTTTCCAAAATGACTTTTTTCTGCTGGGCAAAGCTGCCTGAGAACTATTTTCAGTGAAAAGTGTAAGATCTATAGAAGCGTCTGACTCTGGGAAAGATTTCCAAAGCAATGGCTTCTTGATGCGCTTGGTTTTTGAAATCTGTTTCTCCACTTTTTGATCGTCTCTCTGTTGTGGTTTGGAGATGGATTTCTTTTCAGTGACCAGCTGTTTTGTGGAAATTACAGGTTCCTCTTTGCAAATCTTCTTTAAGGAATCTTTCAGATTACCTTCTTCTTCAGGCAGAGAAATGTCTTGCTTATTAACGTTTTCACCACAAGACTTAAAGGACTTCTGTGCTATATTGATAGTTTCCTGCAGTCCAGAGATCGGTACTTTTTCAGTAACTGGTGAATCGTCTTCCGTTCCAGTACCTCCTTCAGCTGAAGTCCTTAGATCAGCAGGGGCATGTTTCTCCATCCAGACTTGAAACGGTATCTTTTTCTTTTTGTTGCGCCTTGTCTTTGGTGGCTGTTCCTCAGACTTAGAGAGCTGTTCCTTCTCTGCTGTATTGCTTGTCTCCTGCACTCTAGTGGTGGTCAGTGAAGAGTCCTGCTGTTCGATATTTTCATCAGGTATCTTTAGGTCCTTAGGAGCTTGCAACTCCAACCAGACTGCAAATGGGATCTTCTTCTTGTGCTTGGGTCGCTGGGGAATCTGTAATTCCCTTTCAATGTCCTCGAATGTAACCTCTTCTACTCCAGGCTGATCAGACTGCATTGTGGCTTTTGCTTGTTTCCGGTTCTGCAATAAATCACTTGTCTAGAAACTCGGTAAAGATTTCACGTTAAGTTTCAAAAGAAATGTGCACCAAACAAGTTGAAAATCTAACTTTAAACTGCTAAGCAAATTCTCAATAGAAACTATCAACAACAGCTGCTAACAGGTTGTGATGAAAGTAGATCACTGTGCGGAGCT